CTTGAAAGGCGTTGGACCAGGATGGGGGCACGTAAGACTGGAGAGGGGAGAATTTATTACCATGGTGCACTCATTCTCAACTCGAGAGTAGATAATCTGGCAAGAAAACCAGGAGTTTGTTCAATACTCTGCTGACCTAGAGTCCCTAATCTTGGACACAAGGATGTCATACAGTGTATGAGGTAGAGATGTCCAACCCTCTGTAGCATAGTATTAGGGAATGAGCCCGAAACCATAGGGAAATGGGAATCTTAGGATGGATTTATTACATGATATTGGAGGACCCACCCCTGGACTCCTCCTGGTCCAGAGGGCACTGGCTTCACAGAGGCTGCACAGAACGCACTAATGAGGGGACATACTGGTGTCTCAGAGATACACAGTGATGGTCGTTCTTTGTGGGGTGGGGGTGACAGTATAAGGTGTTGCTTGGACTTGGCCTCTCAAGTGTCATTAGGATGATGGGAAAGGGCAGATGGCACACTTAACCATCAAAAGCAACTCTAATTAACAGGGAGGCTAGAATGGTACTAGAGGGCCTTAATCTCCACAGATCATGTGTTTCTAGTAGTAAGCAGATAAATGGCCAATAGAGGTATTGCTGAACTTATATTTTTTAAAAATTAAAAATCGCTGATATCAGTTACTACAATAGAAAATCCCTGTTTCTCACTTAATTTCCAAATCTAAAAAGATGTACAATTTCAAGTCCATTGATTGCAGAGGAAGCTAGGTCTCCTTGAAGGAGCTTCCTTTATACCCATGTGTATATGTTACTACATAAGGATCCTTCTTCACAGGGGCTGTAATAGTTTGCTAGAGCTGCTGTAGCAAATACCATAGGTTGTGTGGCTTACACAGCAGAAGTTTACTTTCTCAGGATTCAAGAGGCTATAATTCTGAGATGAAGGTGTTGATGGAGTTGGGTTCTTCTGAGGCTTCTCTCCTTAGCTTGTGGAGGGTCATCTTCTCCCTGTTTCTTCCTATGGATTTTCCTCTGAGTGTGTCGGTGTCCTAATCGCCTCTTCTAATACAAACACCAGTTATATTCGATTAGGGCCACCCTAATGACCTCATTCTAACTCAGTTGACTCTTTAAAGACCCAATGTCCAAATGTAGTCCCATCTTGAGTCATGGGGGGGCTGGGACTTCAACATATGAATTTTAGAGACAAAATTCAGTCCATAACAAACACGTAGCCTATGTGTGTGTGTGTGTGTGTGTGTGTGTATGTGTGCACGCACGTGCACACACACGTGCATGTGGTAAATTATCCCCACAAAGGGACTTGTGTCCATTTACCAAGGTAACTGTGCTCTGGGGAAAGAGGAATATCCAGATTTTTCAAAAACAAATGGATACCAGATCGGGATGGACACTGATAAAGAGATCTCAAAATAGCAACTTGATCTTCTGGCTTAGAAAGGAACCTTATGTTACACCTGAAACTCACATTACACTGTATGTTAACTGATGAAAGAAGTCTTACGAAAGTTAGTAATAAATAAAGCTCTGACTCAAGCTCACACTGGGTCTGGTGAGTCCATGCACACATCCTGTGGCTATTTCTTTGGTCAAACTTTCCTCTTCGTTTGCTGACTTGTGGAGTTAGAACCTTATAGTAGGAAGGATCAACTGGAAGCCTCCAAAACTGCTCCTCCCTACATTCTCTGTCAAGATGGTAAATTAGAAGCAACAAAAAAACAATACCACATCCTGAAGGATTGCAAAAAGCAGTCATACCATCAAAGACTTAAAAGCAACAGGAAGGGGGTTCCTGATCACAATCCCATTCAGTTTATCATCTGGCCCTTGCTTAAACCAAATGAACCACGGTGGGGTGATGGCGGCCTTGTGTAAACTCACCACACAGGTAGCGCGCATCCCAGCGACTGCGCCAGACATAATTGCTCTCCTGGAGCAAATCAATCCAGCTGCAGAATCTCAGCATGGAGGGATTCAGGAGGAATGGTTGAAGATTTCCCCTATTTTCTATGAGCCCAGCTGCACTGAAAAGTAGACTATTTGCTTGTTTGCATTTTGGTTTCGTTTTAAGTAAAAGTCTAGCTTTTCTAATTGGAGGCTTTGGGGAGAATTTAGCCCCAAACACTACAATAAGGAGAAGCAGTAGCTTTTTTTCTAGACCTAGTCCAGGTGTCTTGAAGAGGCAATGTGCTGGCGAACTAACTGTAGTGAGGGCCAGAGATCTGCTCCACCACTTAACTCTGAGATCTTAAGCAATGATCTCAGAGTTGACTTTTCTGAATCTTCATTTCTCACCTGTGACAGGAAAACTAGCGCAAACTCCCAGGGTCTTCCTGAAGACGGACAAGGCCACATTGCCCAGCACAGAACCCGCCCCATAGAAAATATTGAAGAAATGATTGCTGCCTTTTCCTTCCCATGTCCTCCAAAGCCCAGAATTTTTCATCTTTGTTACTCTCCTCTCTCACAGGCTTCTTCCTACCAAAAAAAAAAAAATCCCGCCATAGTAGTGAACCAACCCAACAATGAATCCAAATCCAAACTGAAAATATAGTAACATTATTTTGTGTATCCAACTATTATTAATAATAATGGCTATTATAGGTCACCATACATAATCACGCTTTCTAATATTTACAGTAAGCACTAAAGCCATGATTCTGAAATAGGTCTAACCCCTGCTTTGACACTTTGTCTCCTTAGTGGATAGTTGTTTTCATGACAAAAACTTGTGACCTAAAATCTTCACCTGAATTACTAGGAGAGAAATAAAATGCGTAAAAAATCAGCAGTAGGCCGTGTTTCCATCCTGAAGCAATCAAAGTGGTATTAAAAGCATGGGAAAGGAAGTCTCTGGCTTTGCACGATAACCCCAACCTGTAACAATATCAGGATTTCTAATGAAAGAAGAAGTTGCAAATTACTGTGGCTGGTGTCATGACACGACTGACCCAGGATCACACGTGTGCCTGCAATCTGAGAATCAGCGGTTGCAGGATGTTGAAAAGTGATAGGTAACCAGTTTTCCAGGAATTGGGCCATCCCCAGGCGGGGAGCCCTGCACATTTCTCAGGCTTAGTTACAGGACTCGCTGGACCGTAGACTGTGTTCCATCTGGATGACACCTCCGCGGCCCAGGTGCGGCAGGACTGACGACACTGACGATCTTTGGCCTCCCATCGTGTTCCCCCCTCTGCTGCACTTCAGATAACTAACAAAGAGCCTCTGTGGCTCACAGGTGGCACCCACCTTAGATAACTACCCCGTGACCTCACCAGCATGCCCCTCACTCCATAAAAGCTGGGACTCGGGGCAGAGGCTAAGTGTGTGGGAGAGCGGCAGGGCTCGGCTCGGCTCGGCTCCCTGGCGCCCTGGCAGGAGGTTGCCCTGAGTCGAACTGTAAACGCGAGGAGATGGCTGGCTTTGTGCCGGGCACTGAAGTACCGTCTCAGTCTGGGGGATACGCGCTGGCCCTCCTCCACCTCCTGACACCAGGCCAAAAGCTGCAGGGGACAGAGCGGGGAGACATGGACAGAAAGAAAAGCCTGGATTAGCGGGAGGATCAGTTATAGCTGAGAAAAGAACAGAAGCTAAAGAGGTGAGCTGTAGGCGATTTCAGGGGGTGAGTCTCAAGAATGAGGAAAAACAAGAAGTGTCAAAAAACGTGAAAGGAAAGTGTTGGGGCGAGAGCCAAGGTTCACAAGCCAAGAGGCTTTTGGTAAAAATATAAGTGGTAATGGTTAAGATTTTTTTTTAAGATTTTATTTATTCATTTGAGAGGGAGAGACAGAACACAAGCAGGGGGCGCGGCAGGCAGAGGGAGAGGGAGGCTCCCCGCGGAGCAGGGAGCCCAACGCGGGGCTCGATCCCAGGACCCTGAGATCATGACCTGAGCCGAAGGCAGACGCTTCACCAACTGAGCCCCCCAGGCGCCCGAAATGGAATAACACACATTTTAGGGCCTGGCATACAGTGGTATATACCTAGAAAGATTTCAGCTTTTTAAAAAAAGGAACAGTTCTAGACTTGCCTGCCACGTACACACTTTAATGTGTCCAACGACGTAACACTGACTTACAGGCAAACCTGGGACTCCCCTGGCTCCGGCTCCTTAATTGTGTCCAGGTGCGACGGGTTAGTGGTGGAGCAGCGCACACACCAGCTTCGGTCCTGTCAGACACGTGCTTTGGTCCAGACGATTACAATCCCGGCTCTCGTTACCACGTGAACTTTCATGTGTCCTCACCACAGCATGAGATCCATCAACAGGATGTGCCAACGCCAATAAAACGATGACCCCGAGGGAAACAGGGCATCCCAGAGCTCGCTGGATCGGTGCCTTCGAGCATCACCAACCAGCAAGCTTTGTCTGGTAAGGATTTGGGAGCCAGTAAGAGAAGATTGTCCCCGGCATAAAACATACCTGAGAACCCCGTGAGTGAGGTTACATCCACCCCAATTTTACAGAAGACCGTGACCCACAGAAATGATACACTTGCCCCGAGTCTAGCTGTCAGCCCCAGGCCGTGCTCAGGCTGAGGGCCATCCACACCACCACACCTGAGCTAGCCCCTGGCCCCAGAGCTGCCGCCTCCTGGAAGCCCACCCCGTGCAGTCGGCCGCTTCCGCGAAGGGGACGGGCGGTGCTGAGGGGCTACTCCTGCACACTCAGGAACTGACAGTCGCGTCACCTCGATGGGATACGTCCTTCAGGCACAGGAGAGATGATTTACCTCTAATGAGAGAAAATCAGAATCCTACTCCACAAAGATTTTAGGGTTCTCCATATTAATAGGTGGATTTGATAAAAATAAGTTATCTCAGACTTACGATGTGAACAACACCCCATTGGGCTGAGGGAGAGAAGGAGAGAGAATGTTCGATGGTGCATGCAGAGGTGAGTGGTGACGGTGATCACTCCCTGATACAAATCTCCCTCCGTCTCCTTCTGTGCGCTTGGAGGGGGGAGGGGAGGAAATGAAGATGGAAAGTCTTTTTTTAAAGTGAAGAAGGTAGGAGGCATTTTTCAGTCTAAGATACAATTTTATTTATTCCAAGGTAATGAGGTTTTACAGAGTGGTTACTGTTAGCAAATCTTCCATTCTGAAATGCATGGCATCCGTTCAGAATGAGCGAACAAGGCAGGAGTATCCGTGTGCTCCTTCCTTCCTCAGCAGACCCTCCCTTCCAGCACCAGCTTCCTCTGCTTGGTGCCGCCCCCCGCCCCCCCAGGGACAGTAAATCCATCTGAAATCAGTAATGGCTGAGGTCTGGAACTCAAGAAATGAAATATCTCTTCTAGGATCTTCTAGATAACAATGCCCACATTGAGACCAAAGTTATATCTGGAATTTCTTTCCGGGCATCTACTTATTCCTAACTCACTTATATTTGAGTTTAAAATATAGTCTTTTTAAAAGAAAATTGCACTGCTTTCAAAATGTCTACACATGTGACATTTTACCAGGCTTTTTAGCTACTTCTCAGTAAACACATCGAGGTGAATAGTCCATTCTTTTTCCTCTGTACAAACACAGAAACCATTTCTTGGAAATCAGCCATTCTTTCCTCATCCAAGTTTAAAAGGGGAAGACTTTACATTAAATTTTTATGAATATTCTTGATGTTCAGATTAGAAAGAAAACACATGTGAATCATGCTGTTCAGATAAAAGCAGCATCCCACTATAAAAGAACAGCCACTAGATGGTAGACACGGAAGCCAACAGGCAGAAAAGGTATTTTCTTGAGGTCAGGACAGTGAGAATGGGGCATCTCGCCACCCTCGTGCTGTTATGTCTGCCAGTCTGCTTGGCATATCCACTGAATGGAGCAGCGAGGAAGGAGGACTCGAACATGGATTTTGTGCAGGTACTTTGTGGTGGCGACCACTGCAGCCACTGGCCTGTCTCAGGGGCAGGAACTAATGTGCCTCCTTGGTCTTGCCACACAAAGGATGCTTTGATCGGTAGTTACTATGTTGGAATAAGTTAGCCCTGGGAACGTTAAAGTGTTAGCGGTGGGTTGTACTTTTGAGCAGAGAAGGGAAGCAAGGTGCAGGAAAGGCATCAAATTCCTCCAGCTTGTCTAAGAAAACACTAGCAGCTGCTTTGGGCCTGAATGAGAGGAGCAAATGAGAAATGGGTGAAACTTCTCTGGCTTTAGAACTTCTTTGGTTGAAATAGGAGGAACACACTCATTTTGATTTTCAAATAATTTCAGGTAGTAACATTCATATTGTTACTTGTCATGTTTAGGCAAAAGAATTGATCCCACTTCAGTCTTGAACCAAGTCTATATTAACAGGATAAATTTCTGCCCCTCTTCTGCCTTTAAAAACCTTTCCTTTTCTATGGCTGGACGGAGCTCCTTTACACGTCCTAGATGGGTTGCTGACTAACTCTTGAACTACTTAATGCCAATTTGATCTTTTAAATTATTAGGTTGAGTTTTTGTTGTTTACTACCCCATTAGCAATACCTGGAAAACTACTACAACCTTGCCAAAGATACGAAACCATTTGTTAGAAGACGGGACGGTGGTCCTGTTGTTGAAAAAATCCGAGAAATGCAGAAGTTCCTCGGATTGGCGGTGACGGGGAAGCTGGACTCGGACACTCTGGAGATGATGCGCAAGCCCAGGTGTGGCGTTCCCGATGTTGGGGAGTTCACTACCTTCCCTGGCATCCCCAAGTGGAGGAAAACCCACCTTACTTACAGGTAATGGGGCCAAAGAGGTTTCCACATACTATCGAGATTTTACAAAGGACTATCACAGGAGGAATAATGTCTTCCTCAATTTTTCTCAGGAAGGATTGTAGATTATACACTGGATTTGCTGAGAGATGCTGTTGATTCTGCCATTGAGAAAGCTCTGAATGTCTGGAAGGAGGTGACTGCACTTACTTCCTCCAGGACTGATGAAGGGGAGGCTGACATAAAGATCTCTTTTGCAGTTAGAGGTAAAAAAACCAAAAAAACGAACATGAAATGCATCTATTTATCTAGTTGCTGATGGGGGGTGGGGGGGGGATGTTCCGAAGAGAGAGATCCTGATTACCTATCTTTCCAATAAAAACATTTTCTCTGTGAGATCATGGAGACTTTAGCCCTTTTGATGGATCAGGACATGTTTTGGCTCATGCCTACCCGCCCGGGCCCGGCTTTTATGGAGACGTTCACTTTGATGATGATGAACTATGGGTGGAAGATAAATCAGGTGGGTCACATACCTCTCTGGATGGCTTCAGGAATAATGTATAACACTATCCAAGAATACTTTGATTATTCAGAATGAGCATTAAATGTAACATCCTAATAACTACGATGTGTGAATGGGCATTTCATTATTTTAACTCGAAATGATAAAGGTAGAATGAATTGCATTGAATCACTTCCAACCTAAAATGTGCCCTTGGGTTTCTTCTTTTCTTTCCATTGGCCTATTTTCCTCTTAAAAGATCAGGAAAAATGTCAGAAAGCAAAGGAAATTGTTAAGTCATCTATTTAAGTAAACCTGTAACTATCTCTAGCTTAGGAGCTTTTTATCCCCCTAAATTAATTCTGAAAGATTTTACTAGGTTTAAACACAATGAGCAAAATTAATGCCGTTTTATTTTTTTCAAGTGGCTTCTGAAGTTTGCAAACACATTGTTGAAACAATTGCTATTTTCAAGATTGTTTGGATTTTTTAAAACAAATGCAAAGAGCATCTTTATTGAGAGTACAAACTTGCGCTGCAAGAAATGATCTTGCTTTATTCGAATAACTATTCTTTTCTGTATAATTACTTGGAGGCTTGATTAAATTTCTACTATTTTATTCAAAGTTTTTATCATATAAAGAAAAGCTGAATTCAGCTGTGTTTGGGCTGCAGAAAACTGTTATTGGACATATTTCTGCTTTAAAATAAAGATTGTACCTATCCCATAGAAACTACTCCTGGAAAGGTTTTTAACCACCAAAAATTATTTGATTATTTTGAAAAGGAGGAAGAACAACACAGGCTAAATCCCCACAGGAAATGACCAGTTTTGTTGCATAAGAGTTTGAGGAATAACATGAATCCTCTGTGATTAATTTCAACTGAGGTTACCACTGGCGCATGTTACTAAATTTGAACAATAACCAACTTTGTATTTGTAGAGACAATGAGGAGTCATACGTGTTGACCTGGTAGTCTTGGGACCTCCAAAAATAATATCTTTTGGAAACAGTGTTTGTCATTGTCACTATAGGTGAAGTGACCAGGTTTCCCTGACCGAAGAGACCTGGGGAGGAGGAATATGGTGAAAAGCTCTCAGATTATATTGATTTCAAGTCAACCTTGAAGAATAATTAAGTAGGGATTATGCCAATGACGAACAGTCCACAAATGAGGAGGAGATGCCATGTGGTTCTCAGGATAGCCCGTATGACTGGCATGTGTTCTTCCAGTAGCAACCAACTTATTCCTGGTTGCTGCTCATGAACTTGGCCATTCCCTGGGTCTCTTTCCCTCGACCGACCCTCGCGCTCTGATGTACCCAGTCTACAACGCACTCACAGACCTGGCCCGCTTCCGCCTTTCTCAAGATGATGTGGATGGCATCCAGTCCCTGTACGGTGAGCGATGTTGGAAACAATGCTCACTCATTCCTGATGTTTTTAGGAAAGTGTTATGAGATGGTCTTCGGGAAAACTTTAAAATGCTGCACGAAGGGTTTGCAATTCCCCTCAGAGCACCCTGAGAGTGTTTGGAAAGCACATACACGGACGACAGCCTCACAGTTGTCCTTCTGTTTGCCTCCCCACATCTGTTCCCCTCAGGAGCTCCCCCCGTCTCCCCGGATGAGCCCATGGCACCCACGGAATCTGTGCCTTCAGGACCTGAGACCCCAGCCGCGTGCGACCCCGCTTTGTCCTTCGACGCAATCAGCACTCTGAGGGGAGAAATCCTGTTCTTTAAAGACAGGTCAGACCAGAAGATTCCATTTCTCTCTCCCTTCTTTTGATGCACCATGCTTAGAAAGGAGAACAGAGACTTGACAGAAATGTTTAAAGAAAATATTTCCTCTACACTTTAACATCATTCAGATCTGGTTCTTGTTGCATTTTTATCACTTCCTTAAAAGAGTCCGGATCATTGTTTAACAGACTTACAAAGGATGATTCTGGGTCCCTAGAATGTAAGCTGGACGAAGGCGTGGGGTTTTATCTGTGTTGTTCAGTGTTAGCGCCCCAGGACCTAGAACAGGCCTGGCACACACAGTGAGTTGGATAAGCGAATGAGTAATAGCTGCATTTAAATATCATCAACCATGCCATGCTTCAGAATGCATGGGTGCATCTTTAGAAGTAGGACTGTATCCTTACCTTTGCTAACAAACGCTACTATTTAAGTTAATTAATTTCAGAAAAAGTGATCTATGTTTCTGGCACAATATTAAAATAGCACCAAAAGACAGAGAGTGGAGAGAAAAGTCTCTCTCCCACGTCTGACCTCCGCAGAGCCTCGTTCTCCCCATATGGGCAGTCACTGCAACCCATCCTTCATCCCTTTACAAAGATATTCTGTTCCCATACAAACATAAATAAGTGTATTTTTTCCTGCTACTTTTTTCAAAAATGTTAATGAGTGCATAATATACATACCATTTACAGGCTTTTACAATGGTGTAGGGGCCAAGGGCAGGCCGCCCCAAAATGTGCCACTCTACCATATGGATTATTTTAAATAAAAGTGACTCAAGAGCCAGCCTGGGCAGGAAGGACACTGAGACTGTCCTCTGTCCCCCTGAAAGCAGGAGATAAACGTCCAGGTGAAAGGTGCCCTCCTTGTGCCAGGAGGTAAAGACCCATCCTTATCACTAGAGATGGGACATTTGGAGCCCAGAAGGCCATGTCCACAACCCTCGTGACTTTTTGCTAATGTACTCACTCTGCCGGCCCAAGTCTGTTTACAATTTCTTGGTGACTAAAACTCCCAAAGTTCAGTTTCCTTTGTCCTGTCGATGCCTCACATATTTATGGGCTCTTGGTCTCAAAAACTGCCCACTTGGTCATTTCTTCAGGTCTCAGTATCATAACAGGGCCTTTGTGTGTACGTAATAAACTTTGGTTTTTTTTCTCCTGTTCATCATCTTATGTAAATTTATTTCTTAGTCCAGCTGGAAGAGCTCCAGGGTAGAGAAGAATTCTCCTTCCCTTCAGTGAACACTACTAAGCTAAATAATTACATGGCCATGGATTTCATTAGCCTGGGATCATAAGAAGGAAGACGGTCCCATACCGACTTCTGAGTTGTCATTGATTGAAAGAGAGAATATGTTCCTTTATATACCCATCTAAAGGATAAAAACCATTGTGATTAATGTCTATGTCTTCCAGATATTTTTGGTGCAGATCTCACTGGAGCCTCAAACTTGAATTTCATTTGATTGCTACATTTTGGCCCTCTCTACCCTCAGACTTGGATGCTGCATATGAAATTACAAGCAAGGATATCCTTTTTGTGTTTAAAGGTAAGTGCTATATAAGAATTTTAATTTGATGAAATAAATCCCATTTCAAAAATTTCACCAAGACATGAATTTTCTCCATTAAATTAAATTTTGTGAGATTTATTACTGCAAGACCTAGTGTTGATGCTTAAATAGGACATGTACAAAGAAGATTATAAGTTTTACTTTAAAATATTCAATGAGATCTAAGTATGCTATCCCACATTCATGAATAGAAAAATAGTAATAATGTAATATAGAAATGATACAGTCAATGTAGTAAAAACGTCAACTTATCTATAGATGCAAGGAATTTTCCATTCAAATGCCAAAATATTTTTCACAGAGCTTGATGAATTAACAAATTAACAAAGTTCTTAACAAATTAAGAATTTGTGTGGGAGAGCAAAGGCCAAGAATAGGCAGGATGCTCCTGGAGAAGAATAAGATGAGGAGGAGTGTTCTGCATCGTGGCGCTTGGGTGGATGAGATAATGCAGTGTCAGGGCAAGGATGGGTGCAGTAGCTAATGGGACTGACCAGGCCTCTCTGTTCCTGTATCACATTTGTAAAGTGCTATTTCCACTTCCTCCACTGTTAATCTGCTCTTTGAGCGGCTATTACGTCTTGAGTCAGTTTTGCTAACATATTTTTCTAGGAATTTATCAACTTCGGTTTCAAATCAACTGGTATGAAACTTTCTGAGTGTTATTTTGTTATTTTAATTATTGTTGAAGTTTTGTTCCCTTTGTTCTTCCTGATACTGAATCTTTGTGCTTCTCTCTTTACCAATCTCTGGGACAACAGGGTATGTAATAATTTTATTCATCCTCTCAAAGAACAAACTCTCAGCTTTGTTAATCCTCTCTATTGTATTTTGATTTTCTATTTAATTAGTTTCTGTCTGCATCATTATTGCCCCTGTCTGTGCTATCTTTGAATTTATTCTGTTGTTTTTTATAACTCAAGCTTGGTCTTTAACTTGCAGCCCTTTCTTCTCTGCTGGTATAAACATTTATGCCTGTAAATAACCCTTTCTTCTCAGCTTTTGCTTCATTCCTACAAGTTTTGATGTGTAGGATTTTCATTTTGTTCATCTTTAAGTTTTTTTTCCATTTTTAATTTTTTCCCTTGACTCTTATGTTTTGGGGAGTATTTTTTTAAACCTCAAACTGGTGTGGGGATTTTTCAAAGTTGGATATTACTGACAATCTCACTCTTATGAGGAGTCAATGAAATATTGTGAAGTTGCATTGGATATTGTAAAGGGTTCTATGACTCTGAAGCATTGCTATCATCCGTTAATTTATCTAGCACTTACTTAGCCTTGCAACATGCCAGGCGGTGTACTTGTTAGTGGAGGTCAAACCTAAAAGAGGCTCCTGTTCTAGAGAGAGTAGCAGAGACGAAGCCGTGAGTGTTACACCCAGTAAGAGCTGGGATTAAGGGAAGCTGGCCCTGGACCCACACCCAGGGCTCAGCAAAGACCCTGGGGGGAGATGACGTTTAGGACGCGTATTGAAGGAGGAGAACTTTGCTGTGTGGACAGGCGCTGAGTGTGTAGAGAGTAGAAAATGTCTTCAAGGCAGAAGGAGCTGTCTACACCGAGGGAAGACTGCATCTGCAGCTGCTCAGACAGATACACCTCCCTCAGTTCAGATGTGGCAAGAGAGACAACAGATGGACATTTTGGATTAGTTAACTGGCAGGGATGCAAGGAAGGGATTCAGGGTTGACGTGGAGGGGAGGTGTGATGAAACAGAAGCAGAGACGCTGATGGGATTCCAGTGTCCTAATTCACTGAAATTTGAGTGGCTTCCTAAGGTATTCAGAAGAAGCCCAGTCTGGACTAGTGACCATAAGAGACCCAAGGAAAAGTGTCCAATAAGTAATCAACTTAGTGATTCAAAGCTTACAGAAGAGTTCCAAGTTAGAAACTTAGATTAAAAGTCACCAGCAACCAAGACCAGTCACCGTAATTATAAACTGTAATAAACTCTAGTATTTATAGACAATAAATATACGACCCAGAAAGGACAGGGACCAGAGTTAATGACTCATTTATTCATTCACTCATTTGGGGAATATTTGTTAAATACTAGCTATCGCCTGGGCATTGGGTTAGCGGTTGGAATTAAACAAGGCTTCTTGTGTTCCACAAAAATGTACTAAATTCTTTTCTAAAACCACAAGTCTTCACTAAAGTTTCTTGGCTTTCTTTTTTTCAATAGGAAATGAGTTCTGGGCCATCAGAGGAACTGAGGTACAAGCAGGTTATCCAAAAAGCATTCACACCCTGGGTTTTCCTACAATCATAGGGAAAATTGATGTAGCCGTTTCTGATGAGGAAAAGAAGAAAACGTATTTCTTCGTAGGGAACAGATACTGGCAGTAAGACTCGGATGGGATGGCTTTGTATGGAGGCTTGTTAGGGAAATTATTCTCTTTCTTTAAGGAAATCCCCCACTCCCACCCTCTAACTTGTTCTAACTTCTCACTTTCTGATTATGAAGAGGACAACTTACAGTTACTCTACTTCTTCGATACAATAAAGGGCTCTCAGAATGGCTGGGCACTGGGTTATATAACCAGACCCCAGAAGACATCAGGAGAGGCCACCTGAGTTCCAGACACCAGGCCACCATAGGAAACCCGGTGTGTCAGGCTGTAGAGACAAGGTCTACAGGGCAGGTGTGATAAAGAACCAGGAGTTTTTTAGCCAAGTGATTAACTCACTTTGCATCTCTTGTGTATGCAGTCCTCATGCATTTGTGGCAGAAAGTCATTTGGGCTCTGTGTCGAGGCTTAGAAACTTGACCTCAGACATATAGAGAAAGAACCTCTGTGGAATAGCTGTATTTCTTTCTCTTGGCACAGATTTGATGAAAACAACCAGTCCATGGAGCAAGGCTTCCCCAGACTAATAGCGGATGACTTTCCAGGGGTTGAGCCGGAGGTTGATGCTACATTTCAGGAATTTGGTAAGGAGGTACTCCTTTCATTGCCCATGGGGACACTCGGGGGCATTTTATGGAATCAAAATCATGAGGAGAATCCAAATAATTTTCAAATCATTTAGTCTTAGACTCTTTTTACTCTAAACTTCTGGACATTTTAACTTTCTAATTTCTGCAAATTGAGTTTAAATTTTATTTTTCCTGAATCATTTCCAAGTCTCTGTTTCATACCTACACATAACATCAGAGGGTACTTCCTCACACCATATTACTCAGGTCACTACGTTGGTATAAAAACGTAACCAGGTATGAGCCAGGGTTACTAATGGTGGGATGTCATCTCTTTTTTCATCCTCTTACCTGTTCTTTCCCATCCCAAGGGAATTTGTCTGGACTTCTGCTGCAGGCTGTAATTGCCTACATTAAGTCATGCATTTGTAAATAAATAGCAGCCTTCCAATATGCTCAAAATAGACAAAATTTTATTCTTGGTAATGGGCAAATGGGAAGATACCACTTGTACTGGTTCTGAAGGAATTTGCAGGGAGATGCCAGGGTTTGACCATCATAATGCTCATGAGGTTCATGATCTTATTGCTAAGATAACTTGACTTTAGTGTGTACGGAGTGGGAAATGGACCTCCAGTGCTTTGTGCTATTGGCCTGATTCTCCTGGGTCCAATGGCCTCCCAAGCTGCACGTTAGGACCTAGTGAGGGAAGTGGGAGTATTTAAAATACGATAGAATCTTAGTACTTTGGAGGTAGTGTAATCTAATGTTTTAAGAACACTGGCCTTGACGTCAGAGGAGATGGAGTTCTCCCTCCATCTTTCATTAGAGATGTTATCTTGGGGAAACCGCAAACTCTCCCTAATTGTCACCTTTGTCCTCCTTAGTGACATCTCACACTTTTTTGGTAAGGAGAGATGAGACGAAACACATGAGCCCTTAGCACAGTGGCCCGTTTATCAAGCACACGTCATAAATGCCATTCACTAATAGCTCACTCTTATTCCGAGTTATGCATGTTGCAAAATGGATTTACTTGAAGATGTCTCATTGTTTTCCTCATCTATATTCACAGGATTTTTCTATTTCTTCAGAGGATCGTTACAGTTTGGATTTGACCCCAATGCCAAGATGGTGACACATACATTGAAGAGTAACAACCGGTTATATTGTTAGATGAGAAATGAAGGAGATAGATTCAAATGAGTATAATAATTATTCACCTAATTTATTGTAAGTCAAAATGTTGAGTTTTCCTGCCTGTGCAGTGGCCAAAGAAGATGAGCTCTGTAGACACTTTCATGTGTCCTGGAGCATTTATTTGGACCACTTCACTTGCTTTGGGTCACACTGAATGGAAGTGGGAGACATCCGTGTGCACTGGTCAGAGAATGTATCTCCATGGGTGTTTTATTTGCTATTTAATAACGATTTTTATTTTTGACCTGTTCCTTCTTTCTAGAATAATTCATTTTTAATATAATGACCACAGTGTGGACTGAGCACTTAACAGATGTTCTGCTAGCAGGTGTAGTAGGAACGCATGCTCCATGGATGGCACCTATGACTGTCATGTACCCTCTCCCATTCTCTAGTCTCTCCACCCACAGGATGTTTATTTTCACCTCCAGATATCATAGGCATTCCTTGCACACCTAAGGAAGAAAGAGCTTAGTAGTCCTGTGACTGGGTCTGGACAAAGATGAGAAATAGAATTCTAGAATATTGGCACCTAAGAAGCTAGCAAATCATCTAATGAATGTTATAATTTATAGGTGAAATAAAAGTAGTGTGAAATCCAGCCACCTCTTTTTTTTTTTTTTTTTAACCCTGACTGCCCTGGAGAGCAAATTTCTCATATCCTCCTCACTCTTTCATTAAAATATTCTCTGGTTCCCATTTTATAGATGGCAGCTCCTGGGTAATAATAGATTCTGTGGACATGCTAACTGTGTGACAGGCTTATCACTAAATTGTATGCTTCATACTACACCAGGTACCCTACAGAGACTTGCTCATTCTTTTACTGGTTCACTTAATGACAGACACTGTCTTGAGTACAAGGGTGTAGGACAGTGAAGAAAACTCATTGAACCCAACCTCTTTGAGTTCTATCTGGTGGGAGTAAGAAACACAACAAACACAAATTAACAGATATTATAAATTATAAAGATGTTATTAAAGAAATGACACAATGATAAGGGAGAATAATGTTGGGGGTGGGAGGGAGCTACCAGTTAAAGTCTAGTTGTTTGAAAATATCTCTCTGGGACAATCATGAAGGGGGGAAAAAAAGCATCTAAGTTCAGTTAACCAGGCCTGGTGGGTGGGAGGAGATACACCATTCTAGGAATAGAAAATGCAAAATAATGTCAAGGCTCAGAGGTGGAAAAATCTTGGCATGTTCCAGGGACCGTAAGAAGGTGGTGCCTGAGTTGTGTGTCAGAGGGCGAATGTGGAGTGAGAAGGTGTTAGGAAGAATCCAATCTTGCCCAATGTTTTAAAGAGCTGTCTATTAAGTGCATTATGGATTTGTTGAAGGAGTTTCTAAGCAGGAAAGTGACACAAGCCAGTACGCAGGCTGAACGAGCACTCTAGCTGGAGAGAACCGGAAGGGAGTGTTGGAAGTTGGAGGACAGGCTAAAGGATGCTTATAGGCGATGGGAGATTGGGACACATGATGCACTTACGATGTATCTTAACATCATTCGGATCCAGCAGTGGGCTGGCTCGGAGGGCACGGGAGGTGTTCAGAACCACGACTGGGTTTCTGGCACGAGCACCTGCAATAACCTGGCTCTAAGGCAGTCGAGGGGGCCTGGGAGAGAAGTAGTTTTGTGGGAGATGGTTAACAGTGAGGAAGAACCATCTTACTTTCCGAATTTAGCAATTTCTGTGAGGCAGCCAAGTGAGGACCGTTAGATGAAGGAGCGTGGAGCCCGGCACACAGGAGATGAAGCTGTGGGAGACGGCGGGGTGTCTGTGAAGTCATGGGAATAGGTGGGGGTACGCAGAGAGGTCGCAGGGAGAAGAGAGTAGCGAGGGGCCGAATCCCCGGCACGAGTGTCAGAGGTTGGACCAGGCTGTGCTGCGAGAACGCACGGCTCCCGAGTCTGGATAAAACTAAAAGCCCATCACGGTGTCCTTGTGCGATTTCCACTCCAGGCTGTCCCACTTCAAGACCCAGTGGACGGAGCAGCCACCCCTCAAAGGGCACTGTGCCGAGGGAAGGGTTATTGCTCTGTTTCTCACTGCCTCCTAAAACTCCGTGGGGATGGAATAAACGTCCTTCTGTCTACCTGTCATTGGCCAAAGGAAATGTGCTTTGCCTCCTCTAAGGCCAAAGACACACAAAAGCCATCCTGTCCTGAGCCTGAGCGGGGTCAGAAATATTTAGTCATCATGACCGCAAATCATAACCACAAAGGATTTTCTTGTGCAAACATTTGTAACATTTAAATTTTTTCTTCAGGTATTTTACATGAGATTTTTTGAGTTGGAAGTACAAACAGCCCAAAGTCCAAAGGAAGAAAGCATTATTTATTTACTAAAAAGTGTTTCTCCTCCCAGCTCCCCAGCTGGCTTTTCCAGAGGTAAGCAGTGCTACTGATCCCCATGAATCTGTCTATCTATACTGTGCACTTAACGAGCATGTCCGTGAAGCCTTGTTTTACCCCCAAAGGGTAATCAATATTTTGATTTTAAAAACCATAATGTAATGAGCATCATCTTACACCTGTCATGTCACAGGTACAAGGGTTCCTGCTAAGAAGCTCTAGCACTGAAAGGTGAGGTTAGAGCATGCAGGGCTGGAGAGGCAATGCATTGATTGGGTTCCGTGAGTGCCGTTGGGGTCATCCTGACAGGGGCAGTGCGGGTGCCGATGCGTGGCAGAAATCCGACCGCAGTGTTCCGGGATGACTCGGGTGTAGATTGCTTGGTTGGGCGGCTCACCAGCGAACAGGAAATGTCAGGGCAGGTTCCAAGAGTTTCCTGGCTCTGTGCTCAGAATGATGGTTTTAGCCTTCAGGCTGGATGTTCTCCTGGGGGCCTGGAAGCTGCAGCCTTTATCTTTCAATACGTTATCTCTGTCACCAGATACGGCTCCGCTCTCCTCTGGGCAAGCTGCCTTCATTCCCGGGCGACACGGAGTCAGCCGCCGTGGGAAGGAGAGAGGACCCTCATGACTGGCTTAGACCGGTGAAGGGGGGAGGTGCCTCATCGTCCTGCCTCCAGTGAGTGGGGGACGACAGAAGGGACCTAAAGACAGCAGCATCAGCGTTTTCCACCTCGAATAACGGGAGGTGAGAAAGTGCAAAGTGTGCACAATCTCGGGGAGGTGTTGGCAAAGAAGGTGCTCCCAAAAATGTTTTCTCTTATGTTTCCGGGCTAACGAATGCCTTCATTTGGTTGGGGGATAAGGAAAATGTGGAATTTCAATCTATAGGCCCTATACAAGGTGCTTTATATGTGCAATTCAGGTAGTCTTCGTCAGAACTGTAGTAAATAGTAACGTCTATCGCAGAAACTTAGGCTCAGCAGGACAGACTTTCCCGGGATCAGCAACTGGTAGTCACAGCAAGATCCTACTCCAGAACTCTGTGCTTTCAGACATCTTGCTCTTCCTGAGGCTAGATCAATGGACCGTACGTAGGTCAACCTAATCTAGTTTAACTTTGTCCCCATTATGTGCTAGTTAATGTCATTGCTTTTAAAAGGCACAAAAGTCCTGCTGAGATTGTGGTTCTCTGAGATGTGCTTGGCCTCACAGGCGCTCCTGATTCTGCAGACCTCAGCGTAGCAAAATAGCTCAGGCCCATTGGCACTGAGACAAAAATGGATTCTGCTCACCCTCAGAACTGGCAGAGAAGTGTTGGGCTCATGACACTTGGTGTGTGTTTAGAGATGTCAGGCTCAGCAATACTGAGTGGACTCCTCTGTTCTTGAAGATAGGAGAAATTAGACTCTTGCAATTCTACCATTCCCTTAACAGAAATGCCTTCCTGGACTTTTCATTCCTTCTTCCTCCTTCCCTGGTTCTGATAACAGCACCACCTTTTGAAATCTCTGTCAGCTTTGACTTGTTATTTGGCTCACAGGCACACTCTCTCACTTGCCATGTCCCCTGAACTCTGCCCGTGCTGTGTGGGTAGAGAGAGCGAAGTAAGGGCTTCAGCTGGAGAGCAGCAGAGGGGACACTCCTCACCGTTGTCTGACTACACACTCGTGCTAATGTTCCCCACACGGCAGCCCTCTCACCTTCTTGACCTGCAGAAGACCAGTCATTCCTCAAAGCCTGGATCATTGTCTACCTTGTCCATGAAAGCCTCCCACACAGAACTAACTCCTGACAGGGATTTGGTGAGTCTCAGGATCAGTTTAAGCACAACCAATTTCTTAGAGCAAGAAAGTCTTCCAGATGCGAGTGCTGATGAGGAGATTCAGCCCAGGGGGCGAAACATACATCCAAAGGGGCATAAAGCCGGGGCCAGTCACAGTGGAGTCAAGCCAATGAGATTCGAGGATGGGTCACTGGAGAGCCCCTCAGGTGGGAGGAACACCGCAATACTGGGAAATCGAGGCAGGGAGACAGATTTCGACCCCACAGCAGGACAAGACCAGCACTGGGGTCGGTGGATGAGGGTTCCCAGTGGACGCGCAGTGGTTCAGGGAATTGGAAGAAGTATGCCTCTGCCTAGAGCGAAGGACCAAGGGATTCTGGCTTTGGAGAGACAAAAGACTGCTGAGGTTGCAGACATGCTGGGACTCATCAGTAAATCGCCGTAGGGTGGTGGGAATGAGAAGGGAACGAATGGAAGTGAATACAGTCTGAGTGAGTTTGGAAGGAGATTCCCCCCCCCACCACCCCTCCTGGCCCCAGATGAGAACGCAGCCCAGCCAGGGCCTTGGGATTGTCTGCAAGAACCTAGCTAAGCCATAGCCAGACTCTCGCACCACAGAAACTAAAATAATAAACTAAAATAAGTAATGTATTAACCCCTAAGTTTGTGGTAATTTTAAAATCAGCAACACGTATCTAACACAGTGAGTGATATTAGGTGGAGTTACAGGCAGGTAGCAAGTATCCAGATAATTCGGGTCAAGATCCAGTTGTGCTACGGGTCTGAAGGCAGAATCGTTGTACCCCTCTGGGAGCTCACCGTTTGCCAATGACACCCTTGACATGGCTAGACATATGACTGTGTCCAGCGTGAGCTTTAAAGCACATGTTTGGAGTAGGGAAAATGGGTCAATGAAGCCCTTATGCAGTGTGGGGTATCTTCCCCTTTCTCGTCCTGCATTTTACTGTCCTCCTTATTGGGCACCAAGTGGCACTGTCACACAGCACTCAGAGTCATTAAGGAAATTACAAATGATAAGTTCAGTGTGTTTGAGTTATAAATGTCCCTCTCTTGCTGTCGACAATTATTAGAGTACATGTGTTAAATACACCTGTGGAGAGAAGTAAGAGAGAGCCTGAGCCAAATGGGGAGAGAAAGAGGTGAGGGATGAGAGACAGTGAGACAGGAAGGGGGGTCAGGGAGAGAGAGAGACAGAGGGAGGGACAGAGAAAAAAGAAGGGGAAGCATGGAGGTGGTAAGAATAGGTGTGGCCAAGAGCGCGTGAGCCATGTTTGAAATGCACAGACATGATCCAGTCCTGAGCCGACCAACGAGACGTCTGACTTGGTGGCGGGCTGAGGTGACATCATGCAGGACTGCAGCTGGAAGCGACCCAAGAAGTGACCTTGGGGTCAGGAGGGGAGAGCAGCCTGAGAGCAGGTTCATCCCAACCCTGGCGTGAGACGCAGAACCTGGCAGGAGGTCTTTGTGCCTCAAATCCCAGGGACAAGAGCGGCAAGCTGGTCCGCCTATGAAGCCAGCCCCGAGCACTCTCCTCGTGGGAACAGAGGGGCTTGGCTGAGCGTGCTCCTGGAGGCCGGATGGCAGTTCTGCCTTCTCAGCTCCTGCACCCCAAGAACTCATTCATCTCACAGACTCCATGAGGTCTACTGCAGCAGAGGCACTGGGCTGGGGACACCACGGACACACCTCTGCGCTCCCAGACTTTACATGCCCCAGAGGGGGACAGAGAAGTGAGCGGCCTGGCTGATTTGGTACCATTTGGTGCTACGGCCATAATGGGGAAGCGATGCTGTGTGGTCACCTAGAAGATGCTCCATCCCAACGTCCAATACTGAGAAGTCCCCGGAGGCCACCAAGGGGAACAAACAT